TTTGCTCTCTTCTTTTTCTAGTGAATTACCTAGGCAGGACCTTTTGGCTTCTGTTAAATTGGCAGCCCTAGGTTTGATGTAAAGTCCCAAAGGTCCTATGAAGTGTCTTTTTACCAGATTGAGGAGAGAAACTTCTGGGCTTTTTTCCTTTTTAAGGAGACAAAGGATAATTTGGCCACTTTGTCAACAAGGGGAACATTCCTACAATCCAGTGACAGGACATGTGGGAATGGTTCAAAGTTGTGCCAGGGCAGGTTGCAACTTGACCTTAGGAAGCATTTCTTTATCCAGAATGTGGTCAAACAGTGGAACAGGCTTTTCCCAGAGAGGTGGTTGATGTCTCATGCCTGTCTGTGGACAATGCCCTTAGCAATATGCTTTAACTTTTGGTCAGTCCAGGACTAGATAATCGTTGTAGGTCCCTTCCAACTGGAACAAATAAAAAAGTCCAACCAACCCCACTCACCCAAAAAAACCCAAATTCCAAAACCTACCCCAAAACAAAAGAACAAAATGAAAAAACCCACACCCTCCCATAACAAAATCACATCACAAACAAAAACAAACAAAAGAAACACAAGTGTAAAACATGGAAGCTATTCACAGAACAGCTGAGGTTGCAAGGGACCTCCAAGTGAAATGTAAATTTTAAGGAATTTAGAGATTTTAGAGGAGCTAAGATTTTAGTTAGAAATAAGCCTTACTAGAGTTAATTAAAATAAATGAGTAGGCCTTGATGAAGTTAGGAGTTAGTAGTCAAGTAATAATTGATTGCTTGTCAGCACAATGTTTAGTTAGCTGGGTTTATAATGAAGAATATAGAAACTGACAAATAGCTTTTAGAAACATAAGACAATTGTGGGCCTCCTCTGTTCTGAAACCAATTGAAGACAAGGAATAGGAGTTCTACCAAGAGTTCATTTGTCATATTTGCATTGAAAAGGTAGAAAGGTCAGAACGAGGAAGACTTCATTTACTTCCTCATTTTGGGACCCCTCCCCATGAAAGGGACCACCGACCCATTTCAAGGAACAAACTCTGCATGCTTAATAGCTTTTGGAGTGATTAGCATACGAAGCGAGGAATGGGATGTACCAAAATTATGAATATGTATTTGTATTTTGTGTATTCAATACTTGTATGGATAAAAAGACTCTGTAATCACCTGGAAGGTGCGGTGTGTATTTGGGAGCTATCCCGCACGCTGCCCGGCATCAAATAAACATACAATTTCTAACTTTAAACTGTTAGAGAGATTTTGTCCCTCACAGTTGGATATCAGTACTAGATCAATATCCATATTTTTTAATAAATCACAAGATCCCCTAGTTCAAGTCCCCATTTCAAAGAAGGTATAACAGATTGCTTAGAAACTTGTTCAGCAATGTTCTGAGTATCTTTAAAGATGGAGACTCTACAAGCTCTTTGGTTATTCTCTTCCAGTGTTTGATCACCATCACACTGGCCACCACTACAAAGAGTTTCTCTCTCTCTTCTTTGCTCCCTCCCTATCAGGAATTTATACAGAGTGATAAGATTCCACACCACCATCTTCTCTTCTCAAAGCTGTACAGTCCCAGCTCTCTCCACTTGTCCTCAAACAACAGATACTCTAATCCATCATCTTCATGGCCCTTTTCTAGAAGCCTACAACACCTGGACTCAGTATTCTCAAGCAGTCTCCCATCCAGTATTAACTGGGCCCAAAGCTGCTTAGCTTCCAAGATAAAATGAAACAGAGTATGTTCAGGATGGTGTGGCCACAGGCTAGTAAGCATATATTTTCAGTTAAAGATTTCATGATATGCAGTTAGTAAAATCACATCTCCTCCTGTCCCACCATCATGCTCCTTGCCCCCCAACCGACTTTGACAATTTTTACATGAAAAAGTAGACATTCATAGAATCATTTAGGTTGGAAAAGACTTCTAAGATAATCAAGTCCAACCATTAACTCAGCACTGACAAGTCCACCACTAAACCATGTCCCCAAGTACCACATCTACACAGCCTTTAAATCCCTCCGGGATGGTGACTCCACCACTGCCCTGGGAAGCCCTTTCTAATGCTTGGAAACTCTTTTGGTGAAGAAATTTTTCCTGATATTCAATCCAAACCTCCCCTGGCACAACTTGAGGCAATTTCCTCTTGCCCTATTGCTTGTTACTTGGGAGAAGAGGCCAACACCAACTTTGTTTAAATCTTTCAGGAAGTTGTAGAAAGCAATAAGGTCTCCCCTGATCCTCTTTTTCTCCAGGCTAAACCTCCATTTCCTCAGCCACTCCTCATAAAACTTGTGCTCCAGAGCCCTCCACAGCTTCGTTGCCCTTCTCTGGACACGCTCCAGCACATCAGTATGTGTCTTGTAGTGAGGGGCCCGGGACTGAACCCAGTATCCAAGGTGTGGCCTCATTAGTGATAAGTACCCCAGTAGTCACCTATCTTGTCCATGGAATAAACATAAAGATCACAAAAGTGACGCTTTACTGAAGTCCATGGAAAAATACTATTTCAATATATAGTCAAAATAATTCACTCAATATGTATTTCACATTTACTATATATTAGGACCTTCAAATAGACAACTAAAAGACTACAGACTGTCAGTTTTGTAGATATTATATAAGAAATAAGGAAAGCAAATCTCCATATGAGTGTAAATATGGTCTGTTAGCTATACTCATCAATAGAAGTTTTGAGCAATTTATATGCAGAATAGTGGGTGAACATGCAAATGGAGAAGGCTAGTAGAAAAAGTAGTCTTCCTATGCCTGACAGAACACTAGATTCCCAAGATGTGCCCAGGAATTTTTTGCCATGATCACCCAAAATAACGTTGGCTGGCTTTTGGAATATAGTCTGATACATAGCATTGCTTATATTGGTTCCAGTCCCATGTCTGGATATTTACATTGCCTGGAAAATAAAACATCAGTCAGCTTTTGAGTTGGTTTCTTAACTATTCTTCAGGCTGCTACTTTTTTATGGAAAACTTTGTTCTATAATTATTGTGACTATAATTGTAATCAATACTCTTCAGAAGAAGATTTGCTTTATTTTATCCCTTTTTTTAATCCCACTTAAAATCACTAAAGCATCAAGAGAAGAATATTCAAGAGAAACAACACTACTACCAAGGATGATTTTTTTAAAGTTCCAGTCTATTACTAGCATTGGATTTAAAGCAAATACCTTCAGAGCATTTAAAGAAATAGATTATAAAAAAGATCAATGAAAACTGTTTAACACATGCATTTAAAGAAGTAGCACATCTTCAACCTCTAGTTTTTCACCTTGAAGACAAACTCTTTATTTTTTGATGAAAAATAAACACAGATGTTCTCTCTGCCCCAAGAAATGCTCATAAATAATTTCATTATCTTGCAGAAACTCATACTTCCTATATTTATGTTCTGAATTTAATGCCATTTGATGCTTTTCAGCAACTTCTGACTGTTTCATACAACAATCCTCCTTAGTCTTCACATATTTAAAGACTTACTTCTTCCAGGGTCCATAACAAATAAACCAGTACAAGAATTAAGAAGCCCACAGAAAGCTATTCCTTTTTTTTCTGCTTCTCATTTATTGCCCTCTACAGTATATCTTATGGTAAATAATTTGGGGCAGTTACCACCTCCATTTTGCATCATTATCCTGCATGTTTGAACTTTCAAGAAGTCTATCAACTGTCAGTAAATATGAATTGGACAGAATTTGAGCCTAAGAGTATATTAGTAATTCTCCAAAACATTCAACTAAAACTAGAAGTCTTTCAAAGTCAAGTAGTTCTCTCACACTGAGGAAGATCTTTGCAACCTAGGTACCAAAATATTCAAAAAGCCCTCTAAAAGCATATTATCATAACTTAGTGGTGCTTAATCTTTTCATCTTCTTTTCCATCCAATGTCAAGGAAAGAATCTTCTCTAGTGAATCCAGCAGTGGGAACTAATAACTTATTGCAGTAAGTTTCTGGAGCTATACTCTCTAATACTGCAAAGTCATTTGAGACTAATAAGATTTCCACTAATTTGCTAATTAGTTTGACATCACCCAGAGTGTTTGAAGTCTATCATTCTCCCAATACGCTATGTAACTAGAGAATGGGCAAAAGAGGATTTATCTTCAAAGGCTGACACTGAAGCTAGCTTGATTTTCAATGAGGATGTCTGGAGGCCAGACTGATTAATGTACAAGATACTCAAGCAGTCTGTGTGTGGGATATATATATATAGGTTAATAAGGTTCCAATTGCTTAGTCTCAAACCATTGTCCATTTGAAATCATATGAAGAAGTCCACTGAACTTCTCAGTTAGGAGACGTCAACATTTTCTCAGACACACCAGTTGCTGGACCTCTACCCACTCAGAAGCTAAGCTGGAATTTAGAGAAATTCTCTATTGGGATGAAGAATTCCCTGGTTCTAGGTGAACAAATCAAGAAAATTTCTGATCCTGTGACAGACAGTGGCCTCAGTTAAGACAGAAAGGTGAGCTTTCACTATCTGCACTTCTGACTAAAATATTCAGATATTTTAAGATCATTAATTTAATGACTTTTTTTAACAATAAAGGTAATTTTTCCCTTTGTTGTCAATACCCATTTCTATTGTTTATACTTTAAAATCCCTACTGAATGTCTCCAATAAAACTAATATTTTAATTTTCCCCTTTCATATACACAAAACTCCTTATTAAAAATAAGTAGTTTCCAAGACAATGCAGCATTCTCCTAATTACATGTCATAATCCAATGTATAGGGTAAAGAAAATAATTTACAGAAGGAGAAAAATACTTCAAAAGAAACAAGTTACACCTAAGCTTTTGAAGGCTTTTAGAATGTACTTAGTTACAACTAACTGCTTAGCAAGTTAGTTAAAACTCCTGGTATATCCTTCAGAAACACTGAAACTTTATGATCATATCAGTAAGTTATCAGCAATATATTATACAAGTTCCTTACAGAGCTGTAAAATACACACAACTATTAAAACTTACCTATTATAATATCTGCCTCCCATCATGAACTGATTGCTTGATGTTGGACATATTTTAAAACGCTGAATATTTTCACTGGTCCGAAAATAAAGTGAATAATCACCAGGTGTATTATCTGAAGGCCGCACAAGAAAACTGCACACCTGGCCAACTGAAAAGATATAATAATACAGCATTATTAACTGTTACTTAGTGTCACTTAGGAGCTTTTATCAAAGCTCTTTCTATACAAATTAGCAAGAATTGCACACTTAAAGGATAAAGTCTGATCTAAGTTCCAACAGTGATCCCCGTTCTTCTCCCCAAAAGGATGAAGTAGTACTAAACTGCCAAAGTTAATGCCAAATCATTCGGCTGTCAGTGACAACCTATCCCAAAATTTGTAACCTCTTTACAAGAGCATATGGTGTGCATATGAGTTTTGACAATTGTGGGAATCCAGGGCTTCCCTCTGGCTGCCCTGGCAGGTCTGGGACCCTGGCAGGGGTCAGGAACCCCCCTGTACAGAGCCCCGAGAGACACTGTCTGTGATCTCTGTCCACAGAGAGGAGTTTTCAATCTTACAGGATGAATTACAAGCTTTGAGTGTTTGATAAAAGTAATATTTAAGTGTGACACGGGTGCAAGAGTAAAATTTTAGGTTTCTAGATTAGGGGTTCAGAGGGGACAAGATGGAGGAATTGGGTGTGTCTTGTCCTTTCCTCCTTCTTCATGCCCTCCATGTTTCACTGTAGTGTTGGCATTTTTCTATTGGTTTAGGCTGGGGACACGCTGTTCAACGTAGATGATAGATATTGGCACATTATTGTAAATATAGCACACGTAGTTTCTGGTATATAATGTTTGTACCATCCCACTGAGGGGCAGAGCCCCGCACGCTGCCCTGCAGGACAGACCTGCGGCAGGGCAGCAGAACATGTTATAGATAAGCAAGAATAAACAACCTTGAAAACAGCACAGACGAATTATGGCTTCTTCTTTGGCAACGGGGCAGAAAGACAGAGACTTTCTACAATCTCGGAATCACCAATACCCACAGATTCCGACAGACAATATTTTCAAAGAAACTAAATATTTTTGTTCTCATATTTAAGGTATGTTATTTGACAGTATGAGTCTGAAATCTTGATGTTTCCATTTTCAAAATTATTTCCTCTATGAGGAGACTAAAGTTTAATACATTCTCCCATAAGTATATAACAGCATCAAGCCTTCCAGAGTTCAAGAAGTGTTTGGACAACACTCTCATGCACATGGTGATTTTTGGGGATGGTTCTGTGCAGGGCCAGGAGTTGGACTCAATGATCCTTGTGTGTCCCTTCCAACTCAGAATATTCTGTGATTCTGTGAACAGTATTTTCTCCCCAGTATTTTAATGAAGCCCAAGATATATTAAAGTATATTACAAAAATTTTTTGAAAATTAGCTATTTCAATCAGAATTCTGAAACTAACTTTACTTGAGAACATAAAAAAAAAAACCTCAATGCTCAGCCATAAGTTTTTTTCCAACGCAGTAGCAACCACAGATCTGATGCTCATATGTTCATACAGAAGAAAAAACTGGTTTTCCTGCAGTCTCAAAGGATTAATTTGTCTCATTGCCGTACCACTGTATTTTCATCTGAAATAAAAGTACCTGTCATCAACAAATTGTAAGCTTCTTGTTTGGAGATCTTCCCATGGAACCATCTTAAAGATAAAGAGAAGAGTTAGAAAGCAAGACCATCAGCTCTCTTTTTTAGTACTTTTGACATCTAAGGCTCTGACATCTGTGAATTAATCGCTGGTACATATGAATGAATTTTTGTTTTAAAAAAATAGTAAATATAGATTATATAAGCAATTCTTATGTTTTTCAGCAATTCTGGTTTTCTACAAACAGAATGAAAAATAAATATCTACATCTATATAAACTTATTTGAGTACAGGTGTCTAACACAAAGCAGATCTTCAAATCCAAATGTGTTTGGAGATTAAAGGCATTGTTTGAATGGTAGATAATGACAGGCCTATTTGAAGCTAGTCTCAGAAGCAATTTATTTGAAGCACGAAATACAAAGCCCAAGGATATTAATGAAAGTTAAATACTATACAGAATAACTAAAATTGAATTTTGCTAGAAGCTGAGGAAATAAACTCCAGCTTTATTAACTACTGAATAAGAATCACTATAGTTTCCTTCGTCAGATCATCATCCAAAAAAAAAAAAATACAGCAATCTATCCAGTCTTGACCTGATATCTATGATTATAGGAAACAGCTTGATGTTGCACAGGTATTCAGTTTACATGTAAATACCATATGCTACACCTTGAGAGCTCATCCTGTCTTTTAAAGGAAAGCTAGAAATAGGGCCTTTCATTGCAGAGTGGATATGCACATGCATGCATGTTTAAGTGTGTCATTAGTAAAAAAGGGGTCCAGGAAGGCTAGACATAATTTAAGATGGGAATGGTAAAGGTGCAAGAGCAGGCTGTCCCTGTGTGCCTAAAGACAAGCTATCAGGGAAGAAAACTGGCCTGGTTGAACAGGGAGCTTTCACAGGAACTCAGGTTAAAAAAAAAGTGAGTTTATGACCTTCGGAAAAAGGGGCAGGCAACTCAGGAAGAGTACAAGGATGTTGCTAGGTCATGAAGACGGAATTAGAAAGGCAAAAGCCCAGCTTGAATTCAATCTGGCGACTGTCATAAAAGACAAAAAAAAATTTTTTACAAATGTATTAACAACAAAAGGAGGGCCAAGGAAAATCTCCATCTTTTATTGGATGTGGGGGGAAGGATGGGATGGACACATTGTTCCCAAGGATGAGGAAAAGGCTGAGGTACTTAATACCTTCTTTGCCCCAGTCCTTAACAAAGACTGGTTATCCTCAGGGTACCCAGCCCCCTGAGCTGGTAGACAGGGGTGGGAAGCAGAATAGATCCCCTGCAATCCAGAAGGAAGCAGTTAGTGACCTGCTGAGCCACCTAAATACTGACAAGTCTATGGGGCCTGATGGGATTCACCTGAGGGTACTGAGGGAGCTGGTGGAAGAGCTTCCTAAAATGCCCTCCATTATTTATCATCAATCCTGGTGAATCATGGAGGTCCCAGATGACTGGAGGTTGGCCAATTGATGCCAATCTACAAGAGGATCCAGGGAACTAAAGGCCTGTTAGCCTGACTAACATCATCTGGAGTGCCATCACACAGCTCATGCCGAAAAAACAGGTGATCAGGCCCAGCCAACATGGGTTTAAGAAAGGCAGGTCCTGCTTGACCAATGTGATCTGCTTCTCTGACCAGGTTACCTGCCTGGTGAATGAGGGGAAAGCTGTGGATATTGTCTACCTGGACTTCAGCAAAGCCTTTGATACTGTCTCCAACTGCATTCTCCTGGAGAGGCTGAAGCCTATGGCTTGGACAGGTACCCTCTGATAGGAAAAAAACTGGCTGGATGGCTGGGTCCAGAGAGTGGTGGTGAATGGTGCTACAGCCAGTTTGTATCTGGTCACTAGTGGTGTTACCCAAGGCTCAGTGCTGGGGCCAGTCCTGTTTAATATCTTTATTTATAATCTGGATGGGAGGGTCAAGTGCACCCTCAGTAAGTTTGCAGACTACACTGAGTTGGGTGGGAGTGTTGATCTGCTGGAGGGTAGGAAGGCTCTGCAGAGGGATCTGGACATACTGGATCAATGGACCAAGACCAACAGTATGAGGTTCAACAATGCCAAGTGCCAGGTCCTGCACTTGGGTCAAAACAACCTCATGCGGCACTACAGCCTGGATTGACATCTGGCTGAACATGAGCCAGCGTGTGCCCAGGTGGCCAAGAAGGCCAATGACATCCTGGCCTATATCAAAAATAGTGTAGCTAGCAGGACCAGTGTAATGATTTGCCTCCCTGTACTCAGCACTGGTGAAGCCACACCTCAAATACCATGTCCAGTTCTGGGCCCCTCACTGCAAGAAAGACATTGAGGTGCTGGAGCATGTCCAGAGAAGGGCAACAAAGCTGGTGAAGGGTCTAGAGAGTAAGTCCTCCGAGGAGTGGATGAAGGTACTGGGGTTGTTTAGCCTGGAGAAAGGGAGGCTCAGGGGAGACCTTACTGCTCTCTACAACTACCTGAAAGGAGGTTGCAGCCAGGTGGGGGTTGGCCTCTTCTACCAGGTAACTAGTGACAGGATAAGAAGACATAGCCTCAAGCTGTGCCAGGGAAGGTTCAGGTTGGACATCAGGAGGAATTTCTTCACAGAATTGGTTCTTACACATTGGAATGGGCTGCCCAGTGAGGTGGGAGTCACCCTCCCTGGAGGTGTTCAAGAAAGACTGGATGTAGGACTTAATGCTCTGGTCCAGTTGACAAGATGGTGATCGGTTAAAGGCTGGACTTGATCTCACAGGTCTTTTCCAACTCAAATTATTCTGTGAAATAGCCCAAAATGGGACCAAACTAGGGCCTTAAAGGGAAAGTTGAACCAGGAGAGGTTTAGATTAGATATTAGGAAAAATTTCTTTATGGAAAGGGTGGTCAGGCATTGGAACAGGCTGCCCAAGGAAGTGGAGGAGTCACCATCCCTGGAAGTGTTCAAAAAATGTATGGATATGGCACTTGAGGACATGGTTTAGTGGTGAATATGGTGGTGCTAATGGGTTGATGGTTGGACTTGATCTTAGAGGTCTTTTCTAACCTTAACAATTCTGTGATTTTGTGTAAAACAAAGCCTCTTACACATAAAAAGGAGCTCTAGTTCTAACTTGCTTTCTATACTACCTTTATAGGAAAATCCCTGGCTATTGGAATATTTACAGAAATCCTTGCCTCCCCTGGATTCTTCTGAGCAACGTGAGCAACTGAGTATCCAAGCTTCAAGATTCGTTACAAACTACTTTGTTTAAAAAAAAAGTTCCTGTATTTGAAGGCATCCCTACTACTGTTATGCTGCTATACCAAACTGACTAGCACAACTTTGAAAACCTGTAAACTGAAGCCACACACCAACAATTTTCTTTCCCCTATTAGGAACAAAAACAAACAACCAAGAAAACACCACCAGAAGAAAGGCCTGCTTCTAACATCAGTCCTTTGGAGACTGAAAACTGGGTAAAAAATCCAGAAAGCAGAAGCTGCAATTATTACAAGCAAATAGAGGACAGATGAAGTTATCCAGCTACCAAAAATTTTCTCTAACTTTCATTCGCTGCTCATCTTTACAACAGAAAATCATATAATAATCAAGTTTCCTGTATCAATTCATTGTTCATTGTAAATTGTAAATTGTATTAGTTTTTTTTAATTATTTAACAATTTGGAATTCACTGCAAACAAATTATTTTAGTGTCTCCTGGTTTTCATTTAAAGTGCTAGCACATGAGACTAATATCAAGTGTTACTATTACACTGTCATTCCTCTAAATGATACTTTGATCCCTCTCCTGCAGTTAGAGCTGAGCAGACCTGAAAAAAGGTTACCTCTAAGCTAAACTGTATGTGTATAAAAAATCCCCACAAATCAGAAGACACCACATCCTCCAGTGAATATATTCTAGGTAAAGTGATCACAGAGACTCATTCAAGATTTTCACTGTAAAACCCATTAACATTAGGCATAACTAATACAAGACTCCATGTCAACCTATGCAACTTCAACAGCAAGAATAGAAGAAAAGTCTTAAGATTAAAAAACAAGTACATTCAACTTTGGTTCACCTTCCCAATCTCATAGCTAAAGTTTACAAACAGTTGTTTTATGATTCACTTTTAATAAAAACCAAAAAATCCTTACATTTTGCCTTCATGTGGATCTTCTTCTCTTCCCTAATAGGAAAATTAACATATTAAGTACATGACAACAGTATGCTTGAGTTTAGAAAAGTAAACTTCATAGGTTAAGACCTTCTGTAGAAATAACACTAACAAGTCCAAGACATTTTTGAACTAGACGGCTTATTGCATAGTTCATGTAAAAAGGTTTTCAACTTCATTCACTGGAATTCAGTGGAAATTCAGCCATAACACGTTATTTCAAAGGATTGTTTCTGTCACTCTTCAAGTCCTTCTTTACATGTAGTAACATAAATCTAAATTTTGTGAGTGTCAACCACTAATGTAGAAATGTATAGTTAGATACTCTAACACTACCATTTTAATTTAGCCATTCACATCCTGATACAGATGTGAGAACAGGTGAAGCAAACTTTACTAATAGCAATATACATATACTGCAAAGCAAACATCATCAAGACTCCAAAGCAATGGTGAACTACTTTGAAAAAAAAGCATGTGGGAGGGTGGGGTGGGTGTTTTTGTCCATTAAATAATCTCTTATTCTGCAGTAAATCAATTATCTTTGTCACCCGATTAGCTTCCTGACAGCATAAGCCCTTCTAGGTATAATTAACTCATCAGAATTTTGATATCCACACTTAGCCCTTAAAAAAAACTAAACCAAAGACATACAGCAAAATTTGAGTCTATACATTAATGAATATTTCAAAGCAAGCAAACAAACAAAAAGGATATAACTGAATGACTAGCAAGTTATTTATCAGGACTGGTGAGTTTAAGAAACTGCTTAAAAAGTTCACAGTATCATTCATTTGCACATGAGCTTTTTTGAATAACAAGAAGAGGTACTTTGGATATTAAATTAGACTTAATGATTTGTTAAACTACTTAAAAGCTGGCAGATTCAAATACTACAAGAAGGTTTAGAAAAGTAAAAAAAGTCAGGCAGCTAAATGACACTAGTTTGGTTTAATTTCAATGTTAACTTCCACACACAACTAAGAAAAAATAAAAATCAAATCTCAGTTCTGCAACAGATTTGAATATAAAATTACTTACCACTTCTTCTACCAGGTCTTCTACTATAAGACCTTGTTCATCTGTCCGTAGGTTTGTAACCCACATCCAGCCATCTTCCAATTCATTATGCACAATAAACATATCTCCTTTAAGGAAACTGAAGAGAGTTACAGCAAGACATATGTTAGAAGTACAATCATAATACAAAGTTTAATGAACACCGTGAATTCTTGAGCATAGTTTCAGAAAAACATTTGAGAAAACCTGACCATGAAAGATATATTTATTGGTATCCCAAGCACACCATGTGCATTTTTCACACAGTTTAAGTAGGTATGTGTGGGTCTCAGATTCAGTCAGAGAAACTGAGAGTTTCTAGCCAGGCAGAAGCCTGGGAAAGAGCTGGAGAAGAATGTAAATAATTCTTTATCTCTCTTGTTATTCACATTGTTTATAGTTAAGTTCTATCACTGTGCGTCAAGCACTTTGCACCAATGCTGTGGCTTGTTTTCACTTCAGGACCAATGGAGTTGGTCCTCATGAAGCTCTGTATAAAAGAGCAGTGTATTTTGAATAAACCGGAGTTTTACTCTCAGCAGTCTTCTGAGTCAGTCTTCTCATTCCCGTCCTGCCGCGACAGTGACAGGTATGAATATCACATGAACATTAATCTTTCTTTATTTTTCATTTAGAATCTAATAGATAAAGTATGCTAAGGATGCATAAAACAAAAAACACCACAACATTAGAAAGTAGTAACATTCTTTTATCAAGAGGGACCAAATACTAAGCACAGGTAAAAACAATCAAAGATTTCCTTAACAGTCAAAAAAAATATTTCTACCAAAACCAAGATTTCTATAATAAAGCTGTCCCAGATTGAAAGGCAAGATGTATTCCATTTGCCATCTCTATGGCAGTTGTCTTCTGTTAAGTAGACAGTTTTCCGTATCTCTTTTACAACAAATTCTCCCTGGGGGAGGCATCTGCTGATAATGGACTACTGAATGTCACTGCATGACTTATAAGAACTATAACATCCCATTGTGAGATGCTCCGCCCAGAAGGAGGAGCCAAGCATTCCTAACTGGATATAATCAGGGGTTTTGGGACACTAGACTGCGGCTTTTCCGCTGGATTTCCAGGAGGACTGCAGTCATTCCAATTTGGACGGCTACCAACACCCTGACCAAAAGGGTGTCAGGTTGTATTCTGACTCTGTCAGTGGTTTTTCTTTTGTATTATTGCATGTATTTAGTTTTCTTTTTTCACTTTTCCTAATAAATTGTATTTCTGACTTGGAGTCTCTGACTGGTTTTTTTTGCAAACCAGAACAAAAGCCTATGGAATATCTACTATTTAAGTATATGGATATGAAGATAAGTGCTAAAAAGAAGATACAGAACAGTTCCTTGAGAAGACATGCAAATAACTACAAATAAGAGTATAAATACAAAGCATTAAAACATTCAAAGGAGTTTCATTACTGGAAGGTTAGTATAAGTTATTCCTTAAGTGTAATCCCAAACTCAGGTATACTGGTTTTCACTAGAATAAATTTCTTCATAGTAGCTCCTATGGAGGGGCAGACAGTGTGCTTGGGGACTGGCTAGGCATCAGTCCATTGGTAGTATGCAACTGTTTTCATTTGCATAACTCATTTTTCTTGGGTTTTATTTCCCTTTCTCTTTGTCAGTTGGTGGGTGGGTTTTTTTCCCTTGCAACATTTTTTTAAAATTTTATTTTTAATGATTAAAACTGTCTTTATCTCAACCCACGGATGTCTCATTTTTACCCTTCCAATTCTTTCCTCATCCTACCAGGACAGAGGGAGAAAGAAGCTGTGGGATGCTTAGCTGCCATCTGGAGTTAAACCACGACAGTCCTTTCTGGTACCCAACAGGGTCCTCAAAGGGTTTAAGATAATAACAGATTTTTCCAGAAGGTATTAGAAGGAACTTATATATGTTAACAGTTGCTGGTTCCAATATTGATTTATTTGTTTTAAAAATTAGTTTATCTGATCTGTGCCATGCTCCCTTTTTTACTGTATATGTTAAACACTGATTTTGGCTTTTGCAGTTTTCTGTGCTCTGTAGCACTTAGTGGTGCTGGAATATTTATTACTAAAACACTAGCCTTGAGCTTAATCTGCTATTTGGGCTCTGTACTGATTCCATTATTGTACTTCAGGAACTGTCTCATGGAGACAAATAACAATTACACTTCCTCCAAGAGGATTTTTGTGGCGGAAATGGAGAATGGCACCTTCACCACATTCTTATATGATGTTTTCTCCCTTGTTATAACAACTCTTCAGTATCTTAAACATTCCTGGGTAATGAAAATATTACTTTTGGTATTTCTTAGGAAATTGTTTTGGCTTTTTCCAAGGTTAACAAGCAATTTAGGAATATCACCCAGATGCCACGGCAATGTGGTTATGGGTTGCAAGGTGTCTTGGTTTAACACAATTTAAGAGGTGGACACTCTAAAATGAGTTACCTCCTGTCCTGGTTTAGGGCAAATTTGCGAGAAAGCCTGCAAAGGGGTTCCTCTAGAAAGCAAATTCAAGCGGCCCCTCCCCCAACTGTTTCGGGGAAAGATTTCCGTGGAGAAAAGTGAAAAAAACCTGTTTATTTAACAAGTAAAGCATTCACCAGCACAAAAAATGAACAATATTAAACAATAAAACCTCTTGTCACTCCAAAGAGATTACAAACTCAGAAAGTCCCCTTCATGGGCGGCAGCTTAGCTCACTCAGTCTGTTATCAGTCCTTCCAATGCTGGAAATGCTGCAGCCCAGGCCAGGCCCCGATGGGCCACAGGTGTGAGCTCCTGGTGCTCTTCTGAGTTTTCAGTCCAGAGCAGGTTCAAACAGTTCCAAGAAAAAGAAAAACCACAGTCCAGGGAACTTCTCTGCCTCAACTAGCTAAAAACTATCTAAAACCAATGTAGTAGATAGGGACAGGCGAACGGAAGATCCCGGGATGTGACGGAAAGAAAGACCCTTCCCCCTTTCTCCCTGCAACATGTTATCTACCACCCCCAGAACATGTAACCACACCTAACCCAGTAGTTTTCCACTCCTGACTAACCCTAGAGACTCTACCAACCCCCCCTGACGTAGCAAAGTCCCCCAAGACTATTTAAACCCATGAGATAAGATAATAAACGCTTTTCGACTGTCCACCACATTGGTGTCTGCGTGTGTCGTTAGCCCGAGTAGCCCAGACTAGGCCGGGCTGCCGTGCTGCTCCTTGCAAACCAGGTCGCCGTTGCCTCCCCTGAAGGCAACAAACCAAAGGAAAGCTCTCTCCTGCCATCTGTCCATTCTGCAGACACCGCAGTCCAGGAGAAGGATGTGGAGGAGTTAGTGCAGTTCCTGAAAACAAGCTGCACACTCCTTCTCTCCCCCCTCCTCCCTCTTAGAACCAGTCTTAAAGGTGCAAAACTTATTTCTGGGCTAAACAGATGAATGGGGATAGAATTCAGTATCATAAAGTCACCCCAGGACACCTCCCCTTATAGTTTTAACCAATCCCTTTCCACCAATAAGAAGAAATGAATACGAGAAGATATACGTGAAAAATAGCAGTTTCCTAAAAAAAACAAAATAGCAACAGGCAAAAAAAATAACAGTAATAGGTACTAGTTACAAAGTTGCTTAAATCTTGCAGATACCTCAGGAACAAAGAGAAACTCAAAATGGCAGCGTAACCCCTTCCCTAAGATGGCATCCTCTGCAAGCAACCATGTGTGGGGAGGCAAAGGGAAAAGATGGCAGACAAACCCTTCTCAGCTCAACCTTCCCCCTGGAACAAAAAAATAGGAAGGTAGGAGCTTACAAAGCCGCTCTAATGGCAGATGGGAATTGCTGGCATGTGTGAGGTCAGTGCTGCTACTTACTGCCACCTCCTGCTACCCACTGGACTGTGCCGGTGTTGGTGCTGCTGTCTTGGGTCCTGATAATCATGGAGGCTCCCAGTGCTGTAATTTTTCCTTATTCTGTCCTTTGTTGTATTTTTTGTTAAGGTTTAATAAACCTTTTAAAATTTTTTTTTAAAAGTGAGGGTCATTTCTCACAACACTGTGACTTAATCAGAGACCCAGCCTTCAACTATATCAGTCATCTCTATAATTAAAAAGAAACAAAGTGGAAGTCAGCTCATTCAGTAAGGGATGAAGCCGCTTCTCCTAAGAGACAGCACCAGAGCAGTCACAAGAACAGAAGAGGAAAGAATGAAATCATAAATGAGACAGAAACCATACAATCCCTATCCCTAAGCAAGTAGTGAGAGATGTGAAGCCATCAATCAGGTGAACAAATTGTCAGCTAGTTATTCTGATGCTGGGATATTGGAGCCAAACATCAGGAATTAGAGGGTAAGGAAACCTAACAGCTGGGATCCCTTGTTAGGAATAAGGTCACTGACAAAAGGATTGCAAAAGGGGCAGGAATCTTTGGAGGCAGCTTTCATCGAGTGTGGACAGATATTTCATCAAGGAAGGACCTACAAATTCCCAAAGCAAGGTGACCACCACTGGGGGAGGTATCCAGTATCTGAGGGAATTAACTGTGGGGGAGGTATATGACAACCAGGTATCCAATGAGCTGTGTGAAATCCCATGCACATGGCCCATGTGGTGAAAGTTTGTATGAAGTGCACCAACACTGTACACGAACAACCTGGCAGCAATGAGCTGGAGAGACACAAAAGCAACAACTGTGGTTAGATTGGCCAGCCAGCTTGGGAATTCAAAGAGAATCTCACTTCCTCCATGGATCTCAGCTGTGGAGAAATTGTTCCAACAATTGTCCCAGCAATTAAAGAAGGATAAGTCTTCCTCACCCATAGTGACCAACATCTTGGCTATTAAGAGTCAACCTTTTTGTATTAAGGGAGAAGTTTATCAGTGACACACATCACATGCCACCTTGTGGTTCTATCTGCCATGACCAGGGGGAGGACATAAGGAAGTGGGATGGTGAACCTACATGGAGACTAGAAGCTCAAGTACAAGAAGTGCAAGAAAAAACAGCAGCAAAAAAGGCATCCATCCAGGAAAATTACTGCCTTAGTGTCTGTTGGTGCTTAGTTGATGGCCAGGGTTAAACCATAACATCAGGTAATATGAAAACCTTTTACTGGAGCACAGAGGGACTTCTCATTCAAGTCAAATGATGTATCAGGGATGCAGGCAATAGCTACACAGTACTGAAGTCCATCAACTACCAAAATTAGATAGCAATTTTCTACTGAACATCTCTTGAGAGGGTGTGATAGATGCACCCACTCTGAGTGAACAGTATTAATTACCATTTAATAATTGTTTAATCATTAACAAAACCCTTTTAGTTAACCCCACAATTACTTCTTTTAATAATTCACCTGTGACAGAGTAACAAAAAAATGCATTAACTTGAGCACAAAGTAAAAAGTAAGAATAAATAAAGCCTAATGAAAATACTTAGAATTACTTCAGCTGCTAATGAACCTAAATTTTAACAATGTACAATAGACAGCAAAGCCATCTTATATCGGTTGTTATTGTTTGAAATGTTTCAAGCTTTCTAAATATTAATCATTACATTAAAATTAACTCAAGATTTCCTGAAATACATAACATCTTCAAGAGTACATTACAGGAGTAAAATATATTAATTTGACCTAAAACAGTGTACTTTGTACCAGTTTTGCTATGAACAGACTATTTTACCATGCAGATCTCAGAAACCCAGCCAGACACATAGAACTTTACAATTTCCTATGATTCTTGTTACCATGGCAGGGTAATGAAATACTTTTTCCTCTTAAATTGGTAGGTGCAATTAGGCATTTACTGGACTTGATTGACCCTATTATGCATAAGAATAGAAAGAAGCCCTACTTTCAATATACAATTAGGGAGTTCCCTCCTGTCTTACTACCTTATTGTATGCTTAGAAGAAGGTCTTCTATAGGATGAATATCCTCAAAGTGGTTTTTTATAGAGATCAGAATGGACTGGATACATTTTCACCCTGATGAGGATATAAAGCTGTCATATGCTTTTTCTCTATAATCTTAGGTTAATAGTCCTATCAAGAACCTTATTCCAAATTACACCAGCATGTTCTATCAACATGGGAAACCAAGACAGTCTCATCAGAAATTACTACAAACATCTTTCAAATCTGGCTTTTTGTTTTTCATCTGGAAGAAAACTGATATCTCAGGAAGGCAGTATTAATTCCAAGCAACTAGTATATGTTCTTCCATTAGATACAGGACTGTTGGTTTTGCATCTTTTCCACATAATATATGTAGTGGAAGAAAAAAAAATGCAGGCATCATACCTTTAACCTCTCAGAGCATTAAGTCTAAGATGCAATTGGAAAGTATTTGCATAGTGAACATATACCAAAATCATTAAGTTTTATAAATACTCCAAGAATGTCACATGTGCTTCTACCTATTTTTAAAACGTACCTTATTTCATCAGTTTCTGGCACTTTGGTGTAAGGTAGAATTGCTCGAACTCTCCTTCTATCTTCCACAGGCTACAGTTTTAGAGAAGAGTTCAAAGATATTAATTTTCCCTTTCATTCTAGTGTAGCTTACTCTCCCCAACATTATGCTATTCTGAGGCAAAAGACTGGTAATAGTAATTTGCATCCCTTTGCTAGTTTTAAGTTTTTAAAAGGTCAAAAATAGTAAGAGCTGGAAATGCTCAATTCCTAAAGTTATCTACAAAAGCCTTCATTTTGGTTCTAGCCTGTAACATTATCATTCATGTTATCTCCAAAAATCAAATTACCAAAAATGTAATTCCCATGAAAGAGCACTTTACAACTTACTTCCTCTTAGTGGAAATTTTTGAAAATTTAACATTCAGAAACATCTTTATTCGGGGTGAAGGGGGCATTACTCATACTGGTAATTACTAATATTGTCTTAAGGATAGTCACTTGAAAGAAACAGCTTTCAAGAGCTTTGGTTATTTCGAGGATGTGTATTCCAAAATCTTTGCTAGAAAACAGTAATATTATTTTGATATCATTTATTAGGTCTGTGTAAAACCCTACATTATATTGGTGCTCTTTATTAGCCAAAACCCACACATTTTCTTATTTGTTTACGTAAAATGTTATTACTACATTTGGAGATAGCTGCAATTCCTGATATCTAGCCTTTTCATTACAGATTTTTATTAAAAAACATTTTTTTTATTATTAGTTTCTATCAGTAAAACCTTGTTTATATATTCATTATACTTCACCATATGCTGAGATAGGTCTAGAACTAGGGGAAGCCATCTACAAGGCTTTTTTCATAGAAAACTATGACTATCAAATGCAAGATTAATGATATTAATATTTAAGTAAATTACATTTTAAAATTCTACTACTTGCCTCTGGAGGTGCTACTGGAAAGAATAGTTTTTCCCCTTTCAGCAAACAAGACACATGACTGTAATACCCAATTAGGTCTGAGAGTGAAGAAAAGCGACGTCCACCAATGTAATAATCTCCACACATGGCAATAATCCTGTAAATAAAGAAAAGGAAGTTTGACAGAAGAACTTTTGCTACAAACAGTTGGGATGGTTTGGGTTTGGGATTTTTTTTAAAAGGAAATGAGGATGACGCTGAGTTGTTAAAGCAGGCTGTCTATATTCAAAATACAGTATTACAAACTCACTCTCTAAAAATGTTAACAGCTACCTGGAAAAGCAACTTTGAGAAGGGAGAAAATACTGACAGAGGGATTGAACTATTCCTTTAGTTACACAAAAGAAAAAAAAAATGAACAAGACATTTGACCTACTTAAAAACTATTATTTTTTTGGTAAAAAATTGTGAAATTATCAGTTTTATGAAGCTTACAGAATGCTAAAAACAGTTTCCAATAAATTATGTAATAAATTGGAAAAATGTCATACTTTCCACCAGAACTCTTTGTTGCAGTGGCAAACCAATAATTTTTAGGATCATAGAATCAGGCTTGAAAAAAACCTTTAATACCATGGGGGTTTTTAAGATAATGGGACTTAAACATTAACCTAGCACTTCCAAATCCACCACTAAACCATGATCCTAAAACACAACATCGACACACCTTTTAAATAACTCCAGGGATGGTGACTCCACCACTTCCCTAGGCAGCCTGTTCCAATGCTTCCCTTTTGGTGAAGAAATATTTCCTTATATCAAATCTAAACCTCCCCTGGTACATCTTGAGGCCTCTTCCCCTCATCCTATTACTTGCTACTTGGGAAAGACAGACCAACACCCACCTGGTTACAACCTCCTTTCAGGTAATTCTAGAGAGCAATGTCTTCCATAAGCCTCCTTTGCTCGAGGTTAAACAACCCCAGCTCCCTCAGCTGCTCCCCATAAGACAGACTTGTGTTCCAGACCCTTCCCCAGCTTTATTGCCCTTCTTTGGACACACTCCAGCACCTCAATATCTTTCTTGCAGTGAGAGGCCCTGAACTGGACACAGTATTTGAGGTGCAACCTCACCAGTGTTTAGTAAAAAGGGACAATCACTTCCCTAGTCCTGCTTGCCACACTATTCCTGATACAGGCCAGGATGTCATTTGCCTTCTTGCCCACCTGAGCACACACTGGCTCATATTCAGCTGGCTGTTGACCAGCACCTCCAGGTCCTTTTCCACTGAGCAGCTTTCCAGCCCCTCTTCCCCCAGCCTGTAGTGTTGCATGGGATTGTCATAACCCAAGTGCAGGACCCAGAACTTGGCCTTGCTGAACTTCCTACAACTGGCCTCAGCCCATCGATCCAGCCTGTCCAGATCCCTCTGCAGAGCCTTCCAGCCCATCAACACTCCCACCCAACTTGGTATCATCTGTGAACTTACTGAGGGTGCACTTGATCTGCTCCTCCAGGTCATCAATAAAGATATTAAACAGGACTTGCTCCAGTACTGAGCCCTGGGGAACACCAATGGTGACTGGCCACCAACTGGATTTAACTCCAATCTCCACCTCTCTGCTCCCAGCCATCCAGCTAGTTTTTTACCCAGCAAACAGTGCACCCGTCCAAGCCATGAGCAGCCAGTTTCTCCAGGAGAATGCTGTGGAAAACTCTGCCAAAGGCTTTACTGGACTTAAAGTACAGGTAGACAACATGCACAGCCTTTCCCTCATCCACTAAGTAGGTCACCCCTTGTCATACAAGAAGATCAGTTTATCCAAGCAGGACCTGCCTTTTATAAACCAATCCTGGCTGGGCCTGATCACCTGTTTTTTCTGCATGTGCCGTGTGATGGCACTCAAGATGATCTGCTCCATAATCTTCCCTGGTACCAAGGTCAGGCTGACAGGCCTGTAGTTCTCCAAATCCTCTTTCTGGCCATTCTTCTACATAGACATCACATGTGCTAACCTCCATTCAATTACAGAAAATTCTGAAGGGCAAGATGAAAATATAAATATTTTCCTTCCCAATATTTTATATCACTCAGCAACTCACCAAAAAATATACTACTACAGCCAAAAAGAATTTCGTTTTGATGGACCCATACACTATCTGTCAATCATATGCTGCATGAACATATGCCCATATATAACTTGAGGGGAGGGGGATTTGGAGAACTTTCACCTACAATATTGGTATTTTAGTCAAACAGAAATATATAAGGAAAGTTTAATCTGAGAAATATCACTTTTAGGAAACAAATAACAGGGAAATTGTCAAGCAATGAAAATTTCACTCATTTTTGGCAGAGACCAAGCTTTGGTGGAAGTGACACTTCCAGTCTATGGGACCCAGGGGGCACATCCCTATATTTGGCTGAATTAACTTTAAGACTGTCAATCTTGAGGCTGGAAAAATGTTTGAGTGTGGCATCTGCCCTTCTAGTAACAAAAAATATATACACTCTGCAGTCAACAAGTAAAATCAAAAGCAGGTCTGCTCTATGAATACCAGTATCAGCAGACAAATTTGTTTCCTTCAGATAATTTACATATTTAATGGATCCAAGAAGAAAATATTCTTTAAGATTTGAAAATATTATAAGGATTCCTTTCTTAGAAAGTAGCATTTAATGGTTCCCCATTTTCTGAGATGCCAGAAACAATTTTATGGTGGACACAAACCAACATTCAACACCTGATATTGGCTACAGTAAGTAGAAGTTTTAAAAATGAGACTCTTGAAAACTTAAACTTAAAAAACAAGTATTAACATAACTTCATTCTCTACTACAGTTACATAGTAATCAGTTTCCTAACAAGAATCACTATAGCTGAGAAGCATGAATTGTTAGCTCAGACATGATGAAAACATGTGCATGCTATTTGTTTGCTTTGCAAGAAAATTTGTTTTCTGTTTATTTCTTGTTATCTAGATAGCTGACAAAGATTTTTTCTAGTGCTGAAGATGCACTTGATATCGTATTTTGTGAAGATGAACATTACACTGCAGCACACTACATGCTGACTAACATTCAAGTGCTTCCCAGAACATCTGATTTACACCAAATGAGACTAAATTAATGTCTATAACTTGCTAATGGTAAAATAACCACAGTTACAATTTCAGATAAATGGATACTTGTATTTAGAACAACTAATTCTAACATAGACTGAAAGCTGATTCCAGCAAATCCTCATATTTTTAAACATATTACCTCTTTGTTTCCCCTTGTTATAGCTATCTTATAAACACTGATTTGCTATGACTTTGACATTCAAATATGTTCTTTAAGCTGCAATATCTGAGGAATAGACTTCAAACAATCTAATTACTACTAAGAAGCCTGCATGTTACTGTAAATTTAGTCAGAACAGCTTTAGACAAGCTTTTCTATCCTGATAATGCTGGTTTCCTCACATTTTCATTCTTCAGCCTGTAAAGGAATTTTTGTAGCATGGTTTAAAACAATTAAACCCTAGCAAAGAGCTATACCATACATGGATAAAAAGCAAAGTCAAAAATATTTAATTTATAATACAATTGTTTTCTATACCATACTACGTTCTAAATCCACAAATAAATAAGTTACAGTGTTTTAAAAGAAAACATTTACTTCTCACCTAAAATGATTGACACTTGTTTTACTAAGGAATGAAAGCACAAATGAACCCGGTCTCCGATCACTCTCTCGAATAAGGTAACTTCCAGGTTTTTCTGCTTGCCAAAGACGCTCTTCTGCAATTGTTCTGTCGAGTTTTCCATGATACCACCTAAAAAACATGTAACAGTGGATGTTCTTAAAAGTTAAGGCTTCTGTTTATTCTCACAGAACAGAGCTATGAAACTAATGAAAGATCTCAGTTGCAATGGATAAAGATCCAAACCTTTATTTCAAATAAGGCTATCAGATGTTTACATGTGCAACCTCTCTCAAATTACTTATTTCCAACACGCAGAATTTGGAAAGCTTCACAGGTTCAAATAACCCATTTCCCCAAATAATTCACACTGGAGAAAAGCACTCTGAACCATCCAAAGGGGACAAAGGCTCTCTATAACCATCTTTTTTTATTCCCCAATTTGTTCATTTTCAGTAAATAAGTAGTACCAGAGGTAACTGATATGCTGTATTTTAAGCCCACTCAGGCTTCCATTCAGGCTACAATACAACCTGTTTCTCAAACAACAAACACAGATCACAGTATCAAAATCTGCACCTAAAAAAAATTACAGCATTCACACCAGAGTATATTTCAGCCAAAATGTCTTCCCCAAGTACAACATGCAGCCTATTAAGAGCAAATACAAATGCATGGTAACTCACAGACTTCATAATATGACAAAAGAACACTTCAGTTTAAGTCAAAGGCTAAACTCATTAAAACATTCCTTACCCTTTCCTCAATTTTGACCTCTTTCAACCCCAAGCAATCAAATGGGGGAAGCAGCAGTGGAGGGAGCAATCGAAGCAAAGCCAAGTGTTGGTCCCAAAACCTTTTAAAAACGAAAACTTTTATACAGCTAATGTTTTATACTATTTAAATTATCAGCTATTTCAGACCATTAACCTATTGATTCTACCAATTTACACGTCTTGCAAAAGTTGCATAAAAAGTGTTTTAGAAGTGATATGAAAGTAATCTTTCGGCCTAAAATACACAAGAAAAAAAAATGAAAAATTGCAGTTGAGAGTAAAAATACCTAACAAAACAGCTTAGCAGGTAATAAAAATCTTGCAAAAAACATTTTTTTCCATAAAATAGAAATTCTCAAAGCCAACTTTCACTTCCATCAGAATGAAAGTCAAATAAAAAAATTATACAGATTACATATAACAGCAGAAATAGTACCAGTGCCAACACTGTTTTCATTGGCAAAGCTGCAGTCTTGTAAGTATAGCCCTCTCCTTTGCATCTCCCCATCCTGATTAAAACAAGTTAAACCAGTGAAAGAATTGTTTTGTCTGTACACTGTATTGCATTTGAGGCAAGGTTAGAAAGATCCTATCTGTGGTGGGTTGACCCCAGCCAGCATCTAACCACACATACAGCGGCTTGCTCACTCCCCCAACTCCCAACAGAACAGGGTAGAGAACAGGAAGAACAAAAGCAAGAAAATTCCTGTGTTGAAAAAAAGTTTAATAAGTGAAGGAAAAAAAGGAATAGGCTAGTGGAAACAGAAAAAAAAACCCAAAGCAATGCAAAGTCAATCACTCTCTCACTACCTCCCACAAGCAGACCAACGTCCAGCAAAACTGAGCAACGGCTACCTTGGAACACACACCCTCTTTTTTTTTTTAATGTTGAGATGATACCTGACATGGCATGGAACCCCTAAGGCCAATTTCAGTCAGCTGTCCTGGCTGTCTCTCCCCTCAACTTCTTCCCACCTCTAACCTACTTGCTGGAGGGCAGAGGGAACAGTGAGAAATTGAGAAAGTTTTAACACTCTGAACACACTATTCAGCAACAGTCAAGATAGCAGTGTGTTATGAACACTATTTTAGCCACAAATCCAAAGCAAAATGCCACCAGGGCTATAATGAAGAAAGTTAACTCAAGCCCAGTCAGAACCAGGACACCCTTAGATGGCTCTATACCATTTAGAATTTTATAGGTTGTCATGGTTATACGCTGGCACAATGCCAGCGCCCCATGAAAATACAACCTATAAATCGAATGCTGTGAAATGTGATCGGGAACGGAGTAAAGCAGGCCAAACTTAATAACAAAGGAAAAACTTTATTACACTACTACTACTACTACTACTACTATAAAAGGAAAAAAAAGAAAAGAAAAAGAACCACACAAAAATCAAAATGAAAACCTTCCAAAACATTCCTACTCCCACCACCCAACTCCAACAAACCACAGCGAGACCCATTTGGATACTTAATCAAGTTTTCACGCTTCTATATAATCAATACTGAGTCCATTGGGGAAGAGAGGAGTCCCCCTTGCACCATAGACCCCCAGGAAACACAGCTGCCACCTCTTGTGTTTCCATGTCACACGTGGCACTGCCCAGACACACCGGCCAGTGTGACACTCTCCTCTCCATGTCACAGTGCTCTCACCACCATGCATGGACAGAGACTGCTTATAGGGCCCCTTTAAGGATGCTTTGCCAAGGACCACCAGGAACAACAGTCCAGTGTCGCATTTCGGGACTAGAGTCCCTCCCATTTTCCCCTGGGGCCGAGGGTCCAAGGACAGAGATCTCCTTCTCTTTTTCTCTGAAGACGGAGGGCATCCTCACCCCCTCCTCAGCTCTCTCTGTCCATTCCTGAACTGGTAGTTGCTGAAGAAGGTCTCTTGGCTCACCAGTGCATCCCCCTAAAATGCAGTCCCTCTTGAAAGAAGGAGTGGTTCAGTCTATGGTAAACAAGCAGAGTCCAGCCAAAAGCCACTCCATCATCTCCCCCCAACCTTCTTCTCTGAACATCTGAGGTCCCAGGCTGTCTCTCTTTCCTTCAAATTGAGGAGGAGTAATATTTCATAAAGCCTTCATTTCACAAGAAAGGGTTAAAATTCCCGGACTCCCTGGACGGCTGAAATCTCAGCCCAGGACTCCGTCTCCCATCTCCCACGCTGGGCATCTTCCCCTCCCTTCTCCTTCTCCTCTGCCGGCAAACTTCCAGGTGTCTGCTGGCTATCTCTTTTCCCTCTAGCTTGGGGGGGGGGGAACAAAGACATCCCAGATGTTCTCCACCCTTCCGTCCGAAAGAGCTGGCCCAGCTCAGTTCCGATCCTTCACCCCCTGGCCTACCTCTGCAGGCCGCATGGCTCCCCTCCCCCACCCAGCCCGGGCTGGGGGGGGAGGTCTGTACCTTGCAATGACCGGAACCAAAGAAGAGCGAGTCCTCCTGGGAATTCCGCTTTTAACCCCTCTGTGTTCTCAGAGGCGTGTCCACCTTCAATTGGTCACCTTAAGTGTCAGTATCCAAACCTGACCCCTGACTGGATTGACCTCTTCCTTCCAAAAAAAAAAATTCTCTTCCCGTGTCAAACCATGACATAGGTCAAGATCAATAACTTAAATTTTATGCTGTTCCAACTGCCAATTGCTTAATGCATTCAGTTAGAAGCAATGCTTAACACCTCTCAACTTCACACTGTGAAAAATGCATATTTTATGATTGGCTTTTCCTAAATGTTACAATGAATATTATATGCGCAATGTTAGAAAGTTATGCTGGATTAATTCTTTTAAGTAGTGTGTTAAATGTAGTTTTAGGTTACAACATAATGTTAAAATAGAAACTCTGTGATATAGGATTTGTTACAAGCTCAAGCAGGAAGATGAGATAATCAAGAAACTCCTCACACAGAGATGTCAGCGAAGGGGGCCCATAAAAAGTTACAGCCTCCTTTTTAGAAAAGACAAACATTCTTCCACCTTCTCTCTGTCTTTTTGGAACTGTTATGTGTAGTAAACATAATTCGCGCCATTCCTTGTATAAAATGTGTAATATTGGATACTTGTTAGATTACGCTCGTTTGTGTTAGCCCCCCCCCACCCCCGCAGGCGAAACCGGGTGTATATTGGAAACTGATTTACAAGTAAGAAGGTGCGGCTCACCAGGAGATGGGCCCTGTCTGGAGAGATACGGGGACCCCAGGCGCTGATCATCACATGAACGCCCAGAGATGGATATCACGGAAATCCTCGGGCAGATACATGTGAATGCAGCGTTCCCGTAAATTTCATCAAGGGATTCAAAAACTCCGGGACACTGAATTGTTCTTCCTGTCCTAGGGTGACGTTATGGTGTTTGTATCTCCAATCGTGTGTTCTGTTTACGTTTGATATTATGTTCTGTGCTTTCAGAACTGACTCTGAAAGTGAAGGTTTGTTTTGCCTTGTTATCAGCTGGTTCACCTCCCCCCATGGTCTGCTGACTAGAAAAGGCTAGTGCTAGCTGGCTGGCTTTTGCTTTGCTTACTTGCTTGCTTGTCTTGCTTGCTTTGCCTGCTTGCTTGCTTTGCTTGCTTCTGCTTTTGCCTTTACTTCCTAGTTAGATTAACTAAGCAGTCCAATTCTTTCCCTAGACTGTTGCTTTTCCTTTCCTCTTCCTGAATACCATACAACCTGCTCCGGACTGGGATCTGGGAAACACCAAGGAACACCAGGAGCCTGCATTTTGTGATCTGCAGCAGCCATCCCCAGTGCTAGAGAGCAATCCCCAGCGTCCAGACCCGGGTGACCACTCCCAGGAAAGACTTTCTAAATTTATTCATCTCTTCAAAGTAGTAAAAGAGTTTTGTTATCATCTAGTGTTGTTAATTGTTTTAGTGCTGGGGAGTGCTTTGTTCGTTAAATAAACAGGTTCTTTTCCACTTCTCTCTCAGAAGAAATTTTTCCCTGAACCAAGTAAGTAGAGAAGAGCCGTAGAAGTTTATTTCCTGGAAGCTCCTTTCAGAAGGTGTTCCCCAAATTTACCCTAAACTAAGACACTTCCTCATCACCAAAAAAGAAAATCTTATTAACCTATGGACTCTGAATAGAAGAAAAGACTGATTGCTGAAATCTTGGCTTCGGGCGGAATTTTCCCTATAATAACTGCTTGTGCCAGGATGGAGGTGTGTGGGCATAGGGGAAAAACCTCTCCTGAGGCTGACTCCTTGTCCCACACCCAGGTTCGATCCCCGGGCTCGACACTGTGGGTTTTTTTCCGTGGCTGGCGTGATAGAATTTGGCCGCTAATAAAACTATTTTTATTTTTAATTTTGCTGAATAAATTTTCATTTATAACAGAACCAGCAAGATA